TTAAAAATTTAGTAATTAAAATAGAATTTCTATAAAATTAATAAAATTAACAAGGATAGTCTTCAGTTAATTACATACTTTTTTTTCTAAATAATAAGATTAGATTTGTCCGGAAACTCAGTGAGATCGTTTTTCAATGTTCCATAATATATTATGCACGTCAGAATAAACTCTTCATGCAAATCGTTCATGATGGCGAGTAATAATCAATAACGGGCCACGCGCATTACAATTAATGATTTAGTACACGACGAAGCAATCTGTTCCCATTAACAAGTGTTCCGGCGCCGTAACGATGGCTAGTTTAATTAATTCATTGCTCACTTCCGCGCATTCTCAGTACCTATTTTTCCTCTTTTTTTCTCCTAGTCGCTAAGAAGACCCAAATCGCCCATTGCGCTCTGAAAATTCTTTACTACCGCGAAATCATTCCAGAAAGCAAATATTACAAGCGTATGATTCTGATTGTTGACCATACGTGATTAAAAGCTGCTAATTAAAATTAAAATTAAAATTTTAATTTTAATTAGCAGCTTTTAATCACGTATGATCACATATGTATAAAAATAATATATAAATATATATATCTTAAAAATATAAATTATATAATAATATAAATATTTTGTGATAAGGCATAGAGTAAATATCATGAATAAAAAAGAATTTATTTGTTGATTATTTGAATTAATAAAAGGCTCAATGAAGTTATCGAGTCAATTTTATGAGAACGTTAAGATTATTTAAGAGACAGGATGTATGATGTCAGAGCGAAGAAACTTGAATAAATCATTCGCTGAAATCATTTCTAATCCTAACGACAAACATACATAATTTACAATTTCACAATTTATAATTTTAATTATTAAAATTCGTGATTATTATACAGGATATATCCTTCTTATAATGAAGAGCATTCATATCCTACCAAGGCACAATAGCTTTTGTAGAGGTGCTGCTTATTTTTGCATAAGTTAATCCTTTCGGTATTTAAGCTCCAAGCATTTCCTGTTTTACGCTCGCATAAATATAATGATGTTTTAGACTATTTACACGCGTATTTCTCATAATATTTTCCCAGGCAGGCTCGCCAGTTTTTTTTCTTGGGACGAACGAAAAAAGCGTTTAAATGGCACGATATCCGCGTCTATCGGAAAAGAGCACGTTTACGTATTTGCGCGGAAATAATCAGATCGTGAGTGAAAGGTTCGTAATATTCCTTTCGTCGACCTCGCCGAGATCGAGAATGTACATTATAGCAACACACTTGCGATCTAGGTGACTCCACTGCCACGAGCTCTTTTTAATCCGGAAGTTGATCGCCGAGATGTTGCCACGGCAAGTGCGAAAAATGTGAAAGGTGAGCCGTTTTCCCAGATTTTTACGCCTGGCCATAATTGTTGCACGCATTTATACAAACGCAGTCGGAAGACGATTCCGTGAAATGAAGAAATCTATTCACTAATTACTCGCAAACCTAAATAACTCGTGCAATTAAAACTGAGCTAAATAGTTCCATGAACTTAGACTAAACTTTCTTGACACAGCGTAAAAAAAGGAAAAAAAAAATTTACAAACGATAATAATTAAAATCTTTGAGAGAATCACTTCGTAAACATTTTATTCATGTGGGAATATATCGCAGAAGATTCCTCAATATTCATTACATTCACTTCGTCCTTCATTAATATTCTTTTGAACGCCACCCGTGTTGTCTTTCGCAATATTATCGGCCTTGACATACAGAAACTTTTTCGATTATTCTCGAAAAGGATATTCCTCTCTCTAAGTTCTCCAATTGTTTCAGCAATTAAAGGGATTCTAAAGTCTATTTTATCGACTCAATAGGACTTACACACATATGATTTATGTGTCATTAACACATCGTTATTATTACATACTACATTAATATCACACGTATAAATATATGTTACGTATAAATTTTCGTAACGTATTTTCGTATCGAATTAGGTGTTTAATTGTAAGTGTAATTCTAAGAACTCGAAGGTTGTTTGTTCAACTACTGAGATCTGTGAATTACAATTTCGTAAGTACAGATTGCAAAGCTTTCATATCAAGCAAATACTGTCATGATGTTGATAGCTTTAGACGTCATATTGGACCAAGAAATGATAATGAAGAATTTAAAAAATTTATTTTTTTCATTCTCTCGCATTGTAACAAAACGCTTTATATTTAGTATTAAAATAAATTAAAACTAAATTAATTTATATTTGTTTTTCTGTAATAATGTTTTGTTATTTGATTATTACAAAATAACTTACAATCGTTACTAACGAATATAGGTATATCTATTATCTCTTTTTTTATTTCTATTACATTTTGATTAATTTAATATAAAGTTTATCAAGTAGAGACAATTTTACACTGTGATATACTGATATGTATCAATTTACCCCATTTATCGAAGCAAATTGTTTACAATGCAGTAAGTTCGTACTTCACTTATTATAAACAAACTATACAGTGTATAGAATCATTTCAGACATGAAAATATATGGAGAAAGATTCTATCATACCAATACATTTTAATCATTATAATTAATTGTTTAATTAATTGTCTAATACCGAAATTGTAAAAATTATGCCAACAAGCTCCGGTCTCCCCTACTACTGCAATCACGCACAGAATGCAAGATGTGCGTTTATGAGAATTCATGGCGTGTAAACGCGGGCAACGTGAGACCGGGAAAAACTCGAAAGTCTGGCCGCGATGCTGCAGTGTTGAAACAGAAATGCGGCGCAACCATGTAATAATCTAACAGTCATTATCGTGTATGCGCGTATAATACATGCGTGGTGCATCGACCTGCTAAGAATTGTATGCGAAGAAAAAAATCAATCTTCGGTATAGGAAAAATCAACGCTCTTGCGAAGAATCAAGAGTCGCAAACTGAATATTATATCTAAACATACAATACATAATATTTCTTTTTCTTTATCCTTTTTTTTAAGATTATTATAGGAAATTTGAAGTATTTTAGCTTTATTAGAAAAAAATCAAGGATAGCATAAATTTAAAAAATTAAATAGTAAGTAAATCAAAGAAGTGTCGCTATTAGAAAATCATTAGGTCACTTATGGCGATATTATGCATTTGTGAGATAACTAATAACCGTAGAAAATCACCGTGGAGAAAAGTCAAACGTGACCAACGCTCGAGAACGCCTCGTTGAACAAACCCGAGCCCATAGATTGAACCCGTTACGAGTCAACGGCCGGAGTGTTACGCGTGATACGTGTCCTCGGCTCGATCTCGCTATCGATAGCCACACACCTTACGGTGCACGAATTCCTGCGGGTTTCGATCATGATCAGCTATTCCAGCTGACGTTACCTGTCTCAATAAAAATTTACCGTTCGTCACAATGAAGATTCACTTGTCAAAAATGTTGTTTGTCCAAATCTCGAGTCCAAAAATCGAGAACAGAGATACGCGAAAAAAGCTGCTATTACAAATGAAATCGTAAAACTTGTTTCACGGAAAGGTTTGACCAAATATATAAAAATTTAGATAATATATACAGATCTGAAAATAATTTTATTGGACTATTAAAATAATTATGTAGGACGCTCAAACTGATTAGTAGAATGTCAAAACTTTTTACAGCATTACTTATCATGCTTGAGATTCCTACATAATTATTTTGATTGTTACGGAATTATTTTTGATCCAACAAAATTATTTTGAGATCTCTACTTACATTAGCTAAATTTTTAGATTTTAACAAAATCGTTCTTTCCGTGAATTTTAATTCTATAATTTTCGTTGTGCACTCTATATTTTGAATAATAAAACTTCAATTAAAAATTTAACTGTAAAGCAAATTTACAAAAATTAAGATCGCTTAAATAACGAGTAGAACCTATGCATTATGCATCCTAAGTGTCTCCCTAATATTGATTTTAATACGATTTCACTTTCTCTGTTTTCGCCCGCGGTCTTGTAATTATTGTTCGCATTTGGTAAATTCGTCGCTTTAATGGATGATTACATTCACTTGTATATGGAGAGAAATGGATCATTCTCGTCGTTACCGTAATAAAGCCATGTACGGCATAACGAACTCGCAGTACTTTTCAAGAAATTCAACTACTCTGCACAATCTGATGATTGTACGTACATATAATTTAGGAAAGAATTTTTATGACTGTACTTAAGAAGAAGGCGGAAGATTTTTCGACAAATGCCATGAATTTTCACCGGCGCGGCGCAAGGTTAATAAAACGTAATTGAAAAAAAGAAAAGACAATTTATACAACGAATCGCACATTTCGTTTCATTGATATCCGCAAGAGACGAGTGTCGTAGAGTACGAAAATAATGTTTGACGAAAAGGCCGGATGGTATTTCGCGTTCGTGAAACAACCTGTCCATGAAGGGAAGCGCGAAAGGCATCATATTATAAAAAGCGACATAATTGCGAGAATGCATAAGCGTTGCGACATATGTTTCGAAATCACGCGTGTACCCACGTGCGCCCAAAGGAATTGGCACTTTCTCAATAAGATGATGCATTCCCTAAGTTACAACACAACAATGACATCCACGATATTCGAAGAATCTCAGAGTGCAACTCGCGTAACAGCGATTAAATTATCACCTTCTGTAAAATGTTATATCAACGTTTATTCTATTAATTTTCGGAATTTACGTTCCTAATTTCATTATTACTTTTTCATATCTTGGAGTCAATAAGTTTTTTTTGTTGTATCCTGCAAATATTTTTGTACATTGTACAATACAGTACGTAATATGAAAAACGACATTAAATTCAAAATATTACATTTTTTCTATTTGTTTTATTCTTTCGCATTTTCTATAAACAAAATAATTGTCGTTACAATTTATACTTTTTATAAAATTTTTTATATTAACTTAACCATCTATTTGTCAATTTATTTCCTGCAAAAGGAAATTTAATAAGCCTGCAACTTTTTTATTATTATTGTTAAAGTTGTTTTTATTTCTTGATTTTCAGACATGCAAATTCCAAAGAAGTTGTTGCTGTTGCTAGCGGGAGCGTTTGTCGTTGCAGCGACGACGTCCGTTTGTCCGTGGTCGCAGTATACGGTGGATCTCGATAGCTCATGCATCTGCGATTATAATCTAGCTGGCGAGCTCTCGGTACAGTGCGATATTGTCGATTATGAACAACTACTGTCGGCGATTCGTCGTTACGCCATCAAAACGCCGATCGATCTATTTTATATCAATAATAGTACAATCGGTGTCTTAAGGAACAATACGTTTGCCACTTTAAAGATCAACAATATACAGCTATCTGGGTGTCGTATTAGGAGCATCGAACCAGAGACTTTCAAGGGTCAGGAGAATCATCTAAAGAGTTTGAATCTTAAAGATAATGAACTCACGGAAATTCCCGATATCAACTTGAAAATCCTGAAGAACCTCACTGTGCTCGATCTCTCGATGAATAAGATTACCAAAGTCAATGACAACGCCTTCGCTGGCACCAAATTAATCACGTTGAAACTTTCCGACAACGAGGTCACTCTCGTTCCGGGATCGTTTCGTGGCTTGGAGAAAACCCTGAAAAATCTCAATCTCAAAGGAACGCGGCAGAAGAAAGTGCCGGAAGCGCTCAGAGGATTGAAGACTCTGGCCTTCCTTGATCTGTCACAGAACAGCATACGCGAACTTCCCGGCACATCCGGAACCAAAGCTTTCGAGGATCTTGATTCCCTTACAGGATTAAACCTCGAGAGAAATCTAATCCAGAATATCGGTCCAGATGCGTTCTTCGGCATCAAAAACACTTTAAGCTCCCTCAGCCTGTTGAACAATCTCATTCCAGATTTCCCTACGGCGGCTATCAACAGCGTCCACGACCTTAGAGTAAGTAATAAAAAATTACAGAAAAAATAGTAGGCTATCAAGTTTAAGGATGAATACTCTGAAAGAATTTTTCGTGTGCAACTATTCACCTTAATTTTTATCGAAATATCTTGTTAAGTTCCTTAATAAATTAATGTGATTTTCCTCGAGTGACTATTTCACAGTGGCTATTTTTTTTTTACGATTGATCAAGCCGCATTATTTTCTATGAAATAAATTGATTCCCTCTAGGTGTTGGATATTGGATTTAATCTAATCACCGAACTACCGGTCAACGCCTTTCAAGGAAACCCGTCGATCACGCTGTTAGCGATCGACGGTAACCCATTGTCCACGGTCCCGGAAGAAGCACTCGCCCAACTGAACGGTACCCTGCGCGGCCTAAGTCTGGGCGGACGATTCCTCGTCTGCGATTGCCGCTTACGGTGGATCATTGAATGGATCAAGACGCGAGACCTACAGGTCACCAGTCGTGAACGCAAGCCACAATTTTGTGGCAGCCCTCAGCGATTGCAAGAAAAGAGTTTTTATAATATCGATCCCGAAGGTAAATCCTATGATCATCGAGATTTCCTCAAGCTTAGAAAATTTAATTTTTTCTGAAATCAAACAAGATTAATTCTCTTAACTTTAATATATTAGCGTTAATTGAAAAAAAAAATTACTTAGAATAAGAGAGTAATCTGTTTTAGGAATTTCAAATTCAATATTGGAATAATAAGAAAATAAAATTTAATTGTTATAGAAATGAATTGTGAACGACCGTCGGAAATAATCGGAATCGGAACGGTGGAGAGCGTAGATACGAGAGAACCGACGGAGACGGTAGCTGGAGATACTGGTATCCATCTGCCGACCGTACGATCCACAATTTCTACAACTGAACTAGTCACCAGCACGACACAGCCTACGACCACGGCGATAGTGTCGTCAACAACCGAGCAGAGAAGAACGACACCATCGGCACCATCCTCGACCTACATTCCAACAACCCGACCGACTGCTGCGCGAACTGGAAATGTCGTAGTCGTGAGGACCACATTGTCGCCATCAAAACAACCACAGGAACACGTGCAACAGCATCATCCGCCGAGACCACCGTTGGTCCTGGGTTCGCCATTGTATAAATCGAAATCGAACGAGAAGGACATCATTGTAAAAGATGTGCTGAGACAGGACAACGCGGTCATTATATACTGGGACACGGAGGCAACTAACATTCTAGGTTTCAGAGTAATCTATCGTCTGTTCGGGGATAATAGTTTCAAGCAAGCACCACCGCTCGAGGCTAGCGAACGAGAATTCAGAATCAAGAACGTGCCTTCCCAGGTAGAAAGATGTCTTTTACAAAAAAAATTTCCCGAGCAGAAATTGAATCAGGGTGCGATTAAGGTCCCTAGCAGGTTATCCCTAATCCTAATAGGGACTATATCAGGAATGTAACGCAATATTCCGACAGTAACCTGACAGGATCGAAAGATCAGGTTCTTATCACAGAACCTATTCAGACCCCTATTCAGGTCCTGATCAAATTTCTACTCGGGTTCTTTACATTAAAAATTTCGATAATTCACATGACATCAATCAATTGTAGGAATGCATCGTAGTTTGCGTAATCTCGCTGGAGGAAATCAACATTACACCGGCAAATGTGCCGCATAACCAGTGCCGTGAGGTCAGAACGGAAAATTCGCCCACCTCGAACATGGACAAGATCACAATTGCCGCGAGCGCGGCTATCTGCGCCACGATTATCGTCGCGGTGATTATCTTCGTGGTTGCGAATCGACGCCGCGCTCGTAAGCTGCATACCTTGCACAGCATCGATCAAACAAAGATGGGCGGTCCAATCGCCGGTCTTCCGGTCAATTGTTGCTCGAATGTGGGTCCGACACCCAGCCCCGGCGGACCTCTGTCGTCAATGGCCACTCTAAACGCCTACAACGCCCAGAAAGAGTGGGACCAGGTGTCGGCCTACAGCAACAGAAGCATTCCGCGGCCAAGGATTTTCTCTATTGATCGACAAGGTAAATTATTGTCTTTTTATCGCTTATAATATATAATATTTGACATCTATAAAGTTTATCATCTTGTTTATACTCCAGGTAATTTTATTTCAAAATCTTAAAATGAGTCATTAGTTGTATCTGTTGAGTCTTAAGATAAAAAAAACTTTCCAAAGATTTTTATCTTTGAAAAATATATGTAAAAATACTGGAAGGATAAACACTTAGAAAAATAAAAAAAATATTATTTTTATCTTGTAACATAAAAATGAAATGAATTTCAGGATCGATAACCAGGGCATCTTGCATCGATGACGTGCGTTCTCAGACCGGACACTATAGCAGCAAAATATCTGCCCGATCGATCGCTGATGGTCAATCTCAGCATAGCTTCTCCAACAATTCCACGCGGTATTTTTCGAACACTGCGTTAACTTCCAATCTCGTCAGCACGAGACCAGGTTGGTTACCTACATGTGTTCGGTAAAATTTATCACGAGCTTTATTCCCCTAATCTTCTGCATTCTGTTTCTCGCAATTGTTCAGAATTACGACAATCGCGCCAGTCGCTGGCGGCCGCCTCGGACCGGATGTCGCGGTCGAACTTTAGCAGCAATCACCTGCCTCCACACTCGTCAGCCCGGCGGCAGCGACCACGATCGCGTAACCGCAATCTGGAGTCAAATCCCCCGCGACCTAGCAGCCGATACAGTCTAGCCGATTCCACGCACACTCTCAACAACTACGATGAAAATAACTGGACCGATCATGACATGGATATTTACATGGCTCGTAATCCCACCACGAGGAGTGGCCTCGTGCCGCTCTAAATATCCGTGGCCTCGTTCATTATTGCTCAAGCGTATTCAATAGAGTCCAATTTCAACCTTAAAGGAATCCTAAAGTCGTCTGTTTTACCGATTATTTTCCAAATAAGTATTCTTCTAACTGCCTTTACATACAGATTTAAAAATTTTTTACCACAATTAAAGTATAAACGGAAATGTAGTCCAAACTGGTCAACTGTATTTGTTTTATATAGAGTAAATTAGGATTATGACTATACGGAAAAGATGGCCATTGTAACTTCTTCAATAATTGCTAAATAGAACATTGTTGTCATTCTAAAAGCCTATGACTATCTTTCTCGTATGGCTATGTTATTCGAGTTTACTCCATAAGTTTTGTATAAAACAATCTTGGTATGGAGTAGGGATTACATGAACAAACAATGTTGAATACTTAGAATTAGGCTTAGATACTTAATGTAGTTAATATGAAAGATTAATTAGAGAAAGACCCCGCCCTTATAGAAATTGGATTTTGGTGGAATTGGCTGAAAATTTGATACGTTGCAGATCTTGTCGTCCTGATAAAGTCTCCATGGGCTCCTTCTAATTGACTGATCTCTATAAAGCATCGTTTTCACAACTGGTTAATATAACATTTTATTTTTAACAAATACGATGCATTCCTATTTCATTATTTGTACATTTTTTCTATGCATATTTTAAAAAAAAAAGCTGTAAAGATGATATTGATTTGAGGTTGATAACCCGATTTTAAAGATTTAAGGCAACACCGTGTTGCTTCATATCATTTAAATCAGGATTGACAATTGAGTTTCCTATTCAATTACATTTTGCTTTAACTTAACACAGTGTCGATTTAAATCTCTAAAATCAGTTTACCAACCTCAAGTCAATATTATTTTTATAGCTTTTTATTTAAAAATATACATATAGAAAAAATGTGCAAATAATGAAGCAAGACTTTTCATTAAGATAACAAGATCTACAATATTTTTCAAATTTTTCAAATTTTCAGCAAATTTCCATCGAAATCCAACATTTACAAGGATTGTGCAAGGTCTTTTGTATGTACGTGTGCGTGCGATTTATTTAGTAGTGTGTAGTGATGTGTCAATGATAAATCGTATGTGTGTAAGTCCTACTAAATCGGTAAAACAGACGACTTCAGGATCCCTTTAACGGATCCTAAAGTAGGACATACATACGATTTCACATCAGATTGAACTCAATAATTTTTGTAGAACAATATCGCATACTTTTATAATTTGGAAATTCTTCTCCAAAATTGAAGTATACGCATTAATCTATACGAGTCTGTAGCTTGGAATTTCAGAAAACGATAAAAATTTTTTAAATTGAGAGATCTTTACCATTTCTTAGTTCAATATGACTTGAGCTATCAAGTCGTGACAACATTTGCTTTATACAAAAGCTCTACAATCTGTACTTACGAAATTGGAGACTACAGACTAGTATAGATTATATAAAGAAATAACGTAGAATTCTTAGAATTAGACTTAAACTTAATCGACGACGTACTCTTTGTTTCCTGTTTTTTGCTTTTTATCACTTTTTACTTCTTGCTTTTTCGCCTGTTACATAGTTTTTCGTTTTCTGTCGCTCGAGATAAAAATTAATGGACTTCGGAAGAGACAACAAACACGTGAAAAGAAATGCGATTGTTAATAAAACGGTCGCAAAGAAGAAAAAAGGTAAAAAGCAAGGAAGCAAAAAACACATTGTAGATCAGGCTTTAGACGTCTAATTAAATCATTTTACGAAAATTTATGTATATGAGTGCGTGCAACATTGATGTAATAATATGTAAAAATGTGTCGATGTGTCGCATGTTATCGGTAAAACAGCGATTTCGTCGGTTCGAGCTTCACTTTAGGATCCCCTTAATAGATTGTTTTTGCAGCGTGTTTTAAAATTTAGATAATCTTGACAATTGCTCTGATCGAGAAGAGTTAAGTCCCAATTCCCCTTTTTAGAAAATGTTCATCGCAATAGTAGTAATATATCGTAGAATTTTATATAAAATATTGAAAATATGTTCAATGTGACAGGAAAATGGAATTTCTTCGGAATTTAATGTTTCGAAATTTATTAAATTCCGATCATGACGTTAACACGACGGGCATTACCATGTAATGCTTGTGTAAATGTGTGCAACCAGAATTGTGAATGTTAGAATTGTAAGTGTTAGAGAAACGCCTTAGATGTACATCCTTGTGTAGCTCTAAGTAATCTTAAGTAAAAATATTCTTAATTACAAAATTGTTGAAACGAGTGAGTCGAGAATGTTCTTTCAGACAATTCGAGTACACGCACTTCCAAATGTTTATTTTCGCACGGCGAACTTCGCGATTATATTATCCAAAGACTGCAATCAAAGTGTTTATCTCTAGAGAAAAGCTATCGCGACCAAGTGAACTGATATATTGTGAGAAAGACGCTCCTAATCGCTCCGAATGAAAGGTATAACGAGAAATGTCATGAGAGACTTGACAGTTTTCTCCGTTGACTTTACCTTATTTTATAACACATGTATTCGCACGTTTACATGCGCATGCATTGATAATGAAGACGATTCGTCGTCCAACGTACTGATGACAAATAAAGAGATTACTTAGTACTTACCCAGGTATCAGGATATTCTTTTCCCACCGGAATCTAATCTCCTGCACGAACTCGTGCCAAAGTTGGGCCAGAGCGGTTGCGCCACCAAGATTGTGCGTGCAGTGTGCCGCGACGACTGATAGACGCCACACCAAGCTGTCCATCATGCAAGTTTTCACACCCTTCCACTGATCATCTTCCATAATCGGGACAATATCGTTGTAAGGGAATTTCTGCAAGGATTTCGAATCTGTGATTATTAATTATGTCTTTCATAAAAGAAACCAAAATTGTCAATTTTAATTATTTTGAAAACATTCGAGATATTTTCACGTTTTAAAAAGATTTCTGTATATTATATGAAAAAGAAAATGTACAAAATTAATCAGTTGATAATCTTTTAGATTCCAAAAGTAACAATTAGTAAATTAAATAAATTAAAAGCTTAACTACTGTCTTATTAATTTTATACATTTATGACAATTACATTAAAGTACTTGTTTACTTTTGGCTTAAATATGTTTGATCCCTTTTATATATAAATAGTGAATGAGTGAAAGATTTTTAAATGAAATTTAAGTGAATAATATTAAGAAAATCAACAGAGAAATATTTAACACATTTAATTAAGCGAAGAAGGCTATATTCGGTCAAAATGGATCTTGACCTAATAATAATAGCTCTTAATAATATTTTTATGTGAATTTCCAGTTCAAGTAAAGTGCGCGATTATTTGTCAGTCTTGAAAAACAATCCTAAACTGAAGCTAGAATATGTAACATCACAAATTGAATTGATAAGCAACTTAAGCTTACCGAGTTTTCATCTGCATCCGGAAAAAGGAAGTAAAGTATAGGTAGCAATATCTCTTCCGAAATTGGACCCTCGATGTTTTTATTCTTTTTCGCGTTCGCTCTACCTACAACGGCCGAAATTGTAGGTATTCTGGATTCGGTGAGCACACTGAAAGCCGAACTTAACATCTGTTCGTCATCGTGAATGTAAGATGCGTTTTCACCCAGTAATTCTACCATAGTCTTCTGATTGTTACACAGATGCAGAAAGTCAGCCATATATTCGCCGAGTAAACAAGCGGGCAAGGCTACCATTTTCACTTGCACCGACCATTCAGGAGCGAGTTGTGGCTCGAGATCCGAGTATCCTTCGCTGTCCACTATCACATTATCTGACATTTGTGGCCATGTGACAAATAGGTGAAGTTCCCTAAAAATATTATAAAATAATAAAAGATATGTATACATATAGTGCATTTTTGTGTGAATAATACACTAGAATATATTATCGTCAAGAATATAACATAATAAAAAAAGCATTTTTTTCATGTTTTTATATTAAAAAAAACTTGCTATAAATTATTAATATATCATTTTTTTTTATAAAACATTCATTATAAAGTTGCTTCTAAGATTAACAATTTTAATGTTACGCTTCTATTAAAAAAAAGTTAGAGTTGCTGATCTCAGAAGCAACTTCATAAATATTTGATAAAAAAATGATATATTAATTAACTTATAGCATTGTTTTTTTATATAAGACTAAGAAAAAATATTTTCTTTATTGTATTATGTTCCTGACGATAACATATTCAATCTAAGTACCTGACGGGATCAAAAGTTGCTCCAAAGGGAAGTTTACCCAATTCTGCCACACCTAACGTTTCTCCTTGCATGAAATCAAAATCCGGAGGTTCTTGCGTCCACGTGCTATTAGTCCAGTCCTTTAATAAATAAGAAAATCTAGTAGATACCATTACGGAGTCAATCTTTACACCACAGCCTTCTCCGATTTTCTGCTTGAAAAGAGTAAGTAAACCTGTAAATAATAACTGTTTGTGAAATAATTTTAACCTTTTATGAAGATTAAAAATAAACGTTATTTAAAAATAAGTTAAATAAAAACGTAAATAATGCTTGCCAGTAAGGTATCTGCAATGTGGTGGAACTTTCTTTAAATGTACCATGTCAAGATTTACACAGGTTCCTTTACCAGCACAGCATCCAAGATACATTTTCTGCCAAAGTTCTTGTATCTGCACCAATATCGGTATATAACTAAAATGCATTAAAAAGATTACAGGATTGTAATTAGAAATACAATACAATCGTGTGGCAAATTACTTACCAATTTGCATTGTTAGCAGCAATTGTTAACGAACTGAGCACAATTTTAATTCGAGTTTCATCTGTTAAACTCGCTTTTCGAGCTGGTATCAAAACGAGAAACTCTCTAACACCGTAATAACGAGCTATCTCCATACAATTATCATTGAGCTTTACAAAATCGTTGGATATATCCAAAGCATCCTTTTGACACTGTATCCATTCTTCTTCGTTTTCTTCTTTTGCTGCATCTTCACTTTCACTTTCCTTTTCTAGCTCGTAATGTTTCAGCAAAAATTCTACATCTGAATCATACATAGTCATATAACAAAAAATTAAACACATGTTTCATATAAAATGTTATAAACGTTATAAACATGTATATGATTATTTGATATACAAATTATCCTGATGCTTCCTTATTAAAAATGTTTCTATTAAAAATCTTCCTTTACAAAGGCTTTTGCAGATGTTCGCAATATTTCAAACAATATATTTATCAAACTATTAAACGAACCTGCAAAGTTTAGCTTCTCTGAGGTCTCATGCCACTGACAGTTGATGAAATCACCTGGTTTGAGGGAACTCGTAACCTTCATATGTGGCAGCTTCCATTCGTGTATAAGCTCTTCGATTCGCGCGATGAACACTTCCCATTCGGAGACAGTAGTAAAATCGTGATGATAAAAGTCTTCGATCTCTACGTGATGCATTTTCAACTGTGCAACTTCCAATCGTTCCAATCCGAGATGGCAATCATGGTGAAATCAGAAAGGTGAAGCATTCCGAAATAGTGGGAGTTTAGCCAATCAGACGCCAGCGACAAGGCGAAAGACAAACAGCTGGCGAAATGTCATTTATTTAAACGTCAAAGCAGTTGACGAAAATTAGTTCTATTAATTAATTTTATTATATATATTCTATTATATTTATTTTATTAATCACACATTTTTATATTATAATTTTCTTGTGTATTTTTCCATCAATCCTGGGTAAATTTTCGTTTTCACAAGAAAGATTCGGAGGTAATTGAAGAACGCTGACATTATCGACAATTGGATATAAATTTGCGACGAGTTTCGCTGCACAATGCGCAACGTGGCGCGATGTATTTTTTTTTTTAGGTTGGAAAATTTGTCGATGCTTCAAAATAGACATATATATTTATTAAATTTTATTACAAAAACAATTTGTTGTTTAAGAATTGGTTAACAAATAATTATTGATACCGACATGGCTGGGAAGCAAGGAAAAGATTTGGCGTTGTCTATGCTAAGAGTGTTACCTAGACTGTCATTAGGGAACATCAAAGATAATCCTGGTTCAAGAAAATCACCGGTAAGATATAATCAGAATATAACACGAAAAATACAATGGGCCGGTTTTTTCATTCATCGATTGATCAATCGCATTATGCACATTGTGCAGCTTTTATGGAACAAAATTATATTTGCGCACACTAGGATCTCGACTAGGATTGATCAATTGATGAATTAAAAACTTTACCCTATGTATCAGCTTACAAAAGTATAAATAAATGTAATATGTAAATATGTATATGTTTTGTAAAAAAAAAAATATAATTACAATATTTATAATATAATATTTATAAGTTTAATTTCACTTGTTATTCTTTCTTATGCACAGAAACGTGGTAGAGGTCAACATGGAGGTGATAAGCATGGTGCTGGAAATAAGGGCTCTGGCCAAAGACAGAATTATATGCGTTTGGGTTACGAAACTGGAAATACTCCATTTTACTTAAGATTTAGCAAAGAACCTTACTACAAGGGACATCAGTAAGTTTGATAAATTTACATATTTTGTAAAATTACAGAATATGTTGGACGCCTAATAAAAAAAATCCTGTATGTTTTAGTTTGAGACGAGAATATCCTCCGCTTTCTTTAAAAATGCTGCAGCTGTATATTGACACAAATCGACTAGATAGCAGTAAACCAATTGATCTTATATCATTGATAAACACTGGTTTATACGACATAAATGTGCAATGGAAACATGCTGGAGTTCATTTGACAGACGAGGTAATATCCTGTGAATTTAAGATTTCAAGCTTTTAACAATTAATATATAATAGCTTATAAATATATTGTAAATATTATAATTATATTACAAAATATTAATCAATAAATTGTAAAAAATTAATCTGTCTAACATTGCAATACTATGCCAGATTAACAATTTAACTGCACGAGTTGTATGAATTTTATTTATATTTTTTGTAAGCTGATACATTGTATCTTTTGTGTTACGGTCTGATCAAAAGACATGGTAATATCTCGGCGCTAAGCCAAATTGTATCTTACTAGAAATTTTCTTGAACCAGGATTATCTTACAATTAGATGTGATTTAAAGCTTTTATTTTAAACTTAAATTATACTGTAGATTATACTATAGTTTGTATTGTAATATATATAACATATAATTGTATATAACTATTCTATTCAGAGATAATATTAATATGGAAATTATGTTTCAAGGGCGCACATTGCTTTGAAGCCAAAGTAAATATAGAGGTGCAGTGGGCCAGCGAGCCTGTAATCGCTGCAGTTGAAAGAAATGGCGGTGTAATTACAACTGCTTACTATGACCCGAACTGCCTCCATGTTATACGTAATACAAAACAGTTCTTCAGCAGAGGTAATTTTAAATATCTTTCATTCTTGGAAAATAATCCTGTATATTAAGTCCTGTGTATTAAGTCTAAGCTTTATTTTATGTAATTCCTCTCTCTTATAATATATAGGTGACCCAATACCACGTAGGCTTTTACCGTCGACAGATTGCTTGGAATATTATTCTAGCGCCAATACGAGAGGGTATTTGGCCGATCCTGAGAAGATTTCTCAGGAACGGTTGGTATTGGCGCAAAAGTATGGTTACGAGTTACCAAAAATTGAGGAGGATCCCAATTACGAGATGTTGTGCGAGCGTAAAGATCCACGGCAGTTGTTTTATGGTCTGGAACCAGGTTGGGTGGTCAATCTTCAGGATAAAGTCATACTGAAACCGAAAGCCGAGTATTTGAAGGAGTTTTACGCAAGTTGAGATGGAGATGTATAGAATAATAATGTGAATAAATTACAATAAATGATACTTATGAGACGATCGTATTTTGTTATTAAAATTCGACCAAATACCACACATGATTAATCGCTTAGGTAAAGCAAATTAATAACATAAAATAATCTTATACGAGTAGTGCCTGTAATTACGCGTTATTTTTTTTATAGAGTACGTGTTAAAAAAATCATGTAAATTTTACATGCTGGCTTGGGGGCAAAAATCGGTTCGACATATTTTTTTACGGGATTTGATCTCACGGTGTATTTTTGCAGTTTTCAAACACGTGCTTCGATAATCGCGGGCTCGACTGTAAGGTTGATTCATTCGATTGTCGAATCGAGGTCGAATCGCAATATGATCGATCTTCACTACACCCACGCACTACACCGCCGCTCGCGCGCTCGCAATCGATATCCTTCTCCTGTCAAATGGATAATAATGGCAGCGATGACGGTTGATACGATGTTGCAAAGCAATGGCTTTCAGACAAAAAAGAAAGAGGACGTCGAAAATAAGGACAACTTATGGTACGTGCCGTAATTCGCGTGACGATAACCGTGTATCGGGAAATGCGCCGCGAAATGATTGTTTGCAATGAGATGCCTGTCGCTTTGCGTGACACATCTTTCTGCGTGAGAAAAATTTACGCGTTCGACCGCACTCGATCGTGTCTTACTCGATGTTATTGTATGCTTTGCAGGTCGTCTATCCTCGCGGAAGTGCAGAACAGCGGTAACAACAAGCTGCCGTCGAACAAAAATGTTCTCGTTTTAGGTAAATACCGATGACATCATACGACCCTTCGATCGCTGGTTTGATGTAGCACGCATATTAAGTAGTCACTCTTGCTGCTCGATACGTGTGTCGTCGACAGAAAAAAGTTCTTCATCGTTACACCCATACTGCTCACTTATAGGAAACGAATCCGTTTCCCCGTAGCGAGTCGCAATTGTTTCATGTGTGTAACATTTTGTCACAGGGCGAAAGGTTATATCGACAAAACTCATTCTTTACATTTTGCACGCAAGCATGCTCCTACGTACAGAGAATATTGTATAAAGGAATATATTTGCCTTCTCTTCAACATATTATTCACGGGTGTTTTTTAATTGCTTAACAGGAATGTACAAAGTATAGCATTGTGAACGACTCAATTGGAACAGAATATCGCAAATGTAGATGACTTGGGACAGTGCAGGTAAGGGTTGGTTTATAATAGACCGTAATCTGTTGACTTTTTCTGTAATTCATAAGAATTGACAAATCATAGTTGAATGAGAGGAGAATAATAGACTACGATTCGTCAATTCTTACGAATTATAGAAAAAGTTAACAGATTATGGTCTATTATAAATCAACCCTAACTTGGGACAGCATGTCAGTTATATCCAATCAAAAATCATTAAAAAAAATTTAAAATTTAAACTTTCTTTAGAGACTCATGGATGGATATTACAATGAATTTAATAAAAGTATGTGCTGTCTTGAGTTACTTGTACTGCTTCAAGTCACTTACATTTATAGTATGCTGTGCACGTGAAGAGATAATTTAAATGCAGTCTTTTCTGTCTATATTTAATGAAAAAAAAACAAATGATAGCCAATATCTTTCAACCTCATTTAGAGCCGTTGCGATTAGTAATACATAATTATCATTAGAAAATACAAATCTATATACAGCTGACTAGTAGCTCTCTGGTTAAATACAAATGTGTAGCGTTGTGTGTCAACAATTGTGACGATGATTGTAACGATTGGAACAATTTGTGTTATGTACACAACAATGTCTAGTTTTGTACAATTGAAAAGCATCTGACAATCTGTACAATATGCAGCAATAATTTTGTAAATGTAATATTTCTCTTATAGTCAACTATTATAAATATATGAATTTTAATATACTATATATGTATATATATACACTTTTAGGTGACAATGAGAGCGGGAAAACTACGCTTATAGCTAAACTACAAGGTGTAGAGGATCCAAAGAAAGGTTCTGGACTAGAATTTGCATATATCGATGTAAGAGATGATTATAGAGACGGTTAGTATGAAATAAAAATGGATATTTAAATTATCATTTAATGCGGCCTGATTTTGGTGCAATATTTTTTATTTCTTTGCAGATCATACAAGACTGTCGGTATGGGTTCTAGATGGAGACCCGGGTCATGCAAATCTTTTGAGATTTGCTCTGAACAAAGAAAGGTTTCCACATACGCTTGTTATGTTAGTTGCTGCTATGACCACACCATGGGCCATTCTTGATCAACTTCAATCATGGGCGGCATTGTTAGGCGATCACATTGATAAATTACCCTTAGATAATGATACTAGGCAACGGTGCAGGCAGTTTAGTAAGTTGAATAGAACGTAGAAATATAGCATATAGTATATGTCATTGCTCGAATGTTGTTCGAAATTTGTTGAATATCGCTTTTTGTTTTGATTGTTATTACGTTTACCATTTCAGCTTTTTATCTCTCTAATAATTAAAGTATAAAATTTGCAATGTACGCCAGTAGAAAATAAATTTCAAATTTCTTGAGAAACGTGGCATTGTTATATATATAGTATATTCGATTTTATTCTGCTAGATATTAAGAAGTGGCAGGACTATACCGAACCAGGAGACGAACTGGATCCTGGGAGTCCTCTGCGACGTACCAGTCGTAATTTGGATGACGACACCGCCGAAGGGTTACCCTTGCCGGAAGGAGTACTTACAACCAATTTGGGCCTAGACGTTGTTGTAGTCATAACGAAAACTGATTATATGTCTACTCTCGAAAAAGAACAAGACTACAAGTGAGCATCGAATAAACGAAGAATTCGTAGTAACAAATCATTAGCAAACGTTAATCTCGTGTGATTACTTACTTTTTTCTTATAGAGACGAGCATTTCGACTTTATGCAACAATGGATTAGGCGGTTTTGCTTACAATATGGTGCGGGTCTCTTCTACACATCGGCGAAGGAGGACAAGAACTGTGATTTGCTTTATAAATATTTAACACATAGGATTTACTCTTTACCATTCAGAACACCGGCATTGGTCGTCGAAAAAGATGCAGTACTTATGTAAGAACATCTGACACTATAAAAATTCTTTCAGTCGTTCATGCATATTTTAAAATTATTATTATTGTACATTGCAGACCAGCTGGTTGGGATAACATGAAGAAGATTAGTATTTTGCATGAGAATTTGCAATCCATGAAGGCGAACGATTACTATCGTGATGTTATCGCACAGCCAGCAACGAATCGAAAAGTATACTATCGTACTGCTTCGTATTATTGCTTTACATTTTTAATACATACAATTTTTTTAATATGATTTATAGCTGTAATATAGATAAATTTACTAGCTGTTAAATATTTAATCTATTGATACTATTATGTATAGTGCGTTGCTAGAGAAATGGAGATTCAGGCGGAAGAAGAGCAAGCTTTCCTCGCGCGGCAGCAAGCTGCTTTATCGGGCCTGAAAGATCCTACTCGTTCTCCGACAACTCGGAATCAGGCAAGCCCTGGACCAATTATACAGGTTATACCATTTATAAATGGAGCATGCTCTTCATGTTGCGTGTCAAATTAAGGAACCACAATATTGCCACTAATTTTCTCATCGCCACTATAAATCGTGCGAGTGATTCATTAATCTCATCTATTACATTCAATATAGAATTATTGAGTCTGTAACCTGATGTACATTTGTGTCGATTGTTTCATTCATTATGCAGTATAATTGACATATATCTATTTCGTTCATCCGTACAACTCATCCATTTATGTGACGTTAAAAGTAAATGTATTTTTGTCCTTCGTGTATCATGAGCTTATGCCTTTCAGAAAACCTGCTTAATGTGTCTCATGAATTCATTTAATAGAATGACAATATAGTTGCAGTACATTAACGTAGCGACATAATATTTTATCATGTGCAAAGTCATTTTTATTTAACATACAGTAATTTAATCCTGAAGCCGATAAATCATGGCGGTAAATCGTGTACAAAAATTTCCAGTGGACCATTGTACAGTCGCTGTTATTTAACACTCCACGTAATTTTAATTCCAGCTGTCATCTCGTGTGGTTATTGCAATTAACATTTGAAAGCATGTTCTAATCTATGTGGTATGATCTGTCCATTACGACTACTAAATTCCTTTTCTCAACAATAGGCGAACACTAATGATTTTATGAATAGGTGGCGTCACCGAATAAGAAGCTGGATCCCAAGGGTAGCGGCGCAACACCGTCCGGGGAAGGTGTTTTAGCTAATTTCTTTAATTCTCTTCTCTATAAAAAGACTGGAGTGCAGCCCGGTTCCCCGGGAACGCCGGGTAACGTAGGAACGAGTCCTATGAAACTTGGTATGTAATAACTAGGGTTCAAACGTCCGAGCTCTTAGTAATGTGTACTTATAATGAAACTATACTATAGAGACATTTCATACCTCAGATGCTACACCGGTGGACAAAGCGACGATGTGTAACGACGCAGTGGCGGAGTTAGATCGTCTCGCTCGGACCAAGAAACTTTCTCCACCCAACCTAAATTCCTCGTCTGAATGTTAAAGATAGCGTTTTTTCTTCGCGGTCCATTGATACAATAAAAATAATAGTCGAAGCTTCGTTGCCATTAGACAGAACTCAAACATAAATTTGAAATGTCTTGTAGCCCACTCGTTATAAATGGGAGAAATCATAACCTAATGATAAGATGGGTCGCGAAGAAGTAAAATTTAGCTCTAATCAATGATAATTTAACCCGATCACATCGCAATGAAGGAAAATTAAAAAACTATATATATAATCTGTCTTGCAACTCTGCAGCAGTGAATGTCATAATCGACTAAATATCAGTAACGAAGCAGAGTACAATTAGAAAGCTATTAAATTAATGTAATTAAAATATTTAATATAATATTACCGAAATATATATATTTACGCACATGTTGTCCTAGCGCTGATCATAGTAAATTATTTAGCAACGCCCGTGTACGTGGAAACGGATGCGCGGTTTTTTTTA